GGAGCTATTGATGGGACACACGTCGATGCATAAGAGAATTTGAACCTAATGCATTGATTGATTAAGTCCAAATAAATTAGTACAAAATAAAGAACTATTAAAATAAGTGGGCAATTAAATTTTTAAACCACGATTGAAATCCCAATAATATCAAATTCATGAAAATCAAGAGCTAGAGCAAAAAATGATAACAACATCTTTAAAAAAGAAATAATGAATGAAAGATTTTAACAAAATAAACAATATATAGGCCTCATGTCAGAAAGAGAGAACTTTCTAAAGAGGTTGCTAAGTGCACCTGCAGCACACTAGAAACACACATCTAATAATCAAAAAAAGAAGAAGAAAAAGTTTCACCAAAACTTTATTCAATACAAGCTAAATAATTGCATGCAACAAGTAAATTATAGTTTCTTCAACATCTATCATAGGATTGTTTAGTGAAAATACATAAAGCTAAGTAGCAAAAATCATACATGAAACATATATGGTACACGCAAATGCCGATAGATTTAGAATGGACTGCATAATAATATAAGCACAATGACATAAATTAACTTCAATGTAGCTAAGTAGAAGAAATGGTACAATGAAATAAAATATTAGATGCCTAATCAACACTAGAGAGAGAGAGATGGGAGAAAGGCCCTCGCTCTCTTTCTATGTGCATATTGCGAACAAATATTACGTCCGGACTCCAGACATGATTTCATGTGGAGGTGAAAGAAAAATTTTAAAAAATTGGTTATAGCACATGAGAATATTCCCCTGTATTATTCTGCGTTATTCATGTGTTATTGTGGTGATATTCATGTATTATTTTGTTTTGACAATATTTTTCAGTGATATAATAACACAATAATACATCAATACCACCACAATAACACCTGAATAACGCAAAATAACACAAGAGGAATATGCGCCCACGTTATCGGGCCGGATAACAAGAAAACAAATTTTTTTTTTTTGTCAGCTCCACGTGGAGGTGATTTATTGGACTTCGGACGTATCTCTACGTCCAGACTCCAGACGTAATAATTTTCTGCATATTACACACAAATTTTTTTTCTATAAATAATAATAATAATAATTTTAAAAACAAATATTTTACAAGTATCAAAATAACAAATTTTAAATTTTTAATAAACTAAATAACTTTGATTTAATTTGAAATGATTATAAACTAAAAATTTTGAATTTTGAATTGATAAATAAATTTATTATGATGAAATTATAATAATTCATATATTAATCTCTAGCATCCACACGCAGCTTAAATTAGCTCGCTTAGTTAAAACAATGGACATAAATTTTCTCCATTTTGAATGCTTCAGCACACACGTATTGTGAATTTAATGAAAGGAAAAAAAAAAATAAAAATCAGCAAGGCATTTGAATCAGCATACGCGCTTCGTGAATTTTATTATGAAAAACAATGTTTACATACAGACCACACAATCCTTATATATTTATATAGCAAACACCTAAGTTTTAATCTTTACATTATAGTACTCAAATCCTTATCTTTACATCAAAATATCACTTGTACTGACATTTTAAAAGACAAAAGATTTGTAAAATTTATGCATAAATTTATAACACCAAGTTTAGATATGTAAATCCAAAAGATTTGCACGGTAAGTATGTAAATTTATACATAAAACGGATTAATCACTCTCTGTTCCTCCTTTCAAAAAAGTCCAAAATCATTGAATTGAAAAGAAAAACAAGGTTAAACTGATCATATTGTCATCAAACTTTTCAGGCTTTTGCATCTCGTGGAGTGAGTTCCTGGAAAACTTGAAGCCTATTAGGCTGCTTCACATAGCCATACCTTCCTCCCATCCCAGAGAAGTAATCTGAATCCACACAACTCTTCAAAGAAGATGATGATCTCCGTTCCCCTTCGTCATTCTTCGCCATTCCTCGCCACCTCCCGCGCAATTCCTTGCACCCGCTACTTCGATTTTTCGTATTACTAGAGTTCAGCGTTCGCTTCTGAGTCTCGTTCCTGTTAAGCTTTTTACCGGAAGAAGTAGGTGTCTTGCTTCCAAATTCAAAATTCAATTTTTCTGACTTATCTTCCTCCTCTGCAACGTCAGCCCAAGATCTTCCTGCGAATTTTAGCGAACTAATGCCGATCTCAGCGTTTTCACAGGCTGATTGCTCGTCATCCTCCACCATATCCGCCCAAGTCTTTTTCTTGGTTTTGCCTAAGCTCAAATCAAGACTTTCAAAACAAATCTGAGCTCCCTCGTCTCCTTTTTCCTGTTGAAATCCTTCAGTAGAAAGGTTTGAGCTGTTCAAGTTTTGATCTTTTGAGGTCAACGGAGCAACTTTCTTGCAGTTGAAAACAAATGCCTCTCTCTCCGCTCTGCGCATCTGGATGTCAAGCCTGATCACCAAATTTTCTATCCCACTATCTCTTTCTTTCCTTTCAATTGTGCTCTCTGATGTCATCAAAGGCTTGGAATTTGAAGTCACTCTTACAGACGCAGGTGAAAAGAAAGCTTCTCCATGATCTGTGTTGGTTTTCTCATTACTGGAGGAGTTTTGCTGCTGCACTGATCCATTCATCATTTCCCATGCTCTGTCAAAGGATTTATGATACGATTCTCCATTACAGTAATCAGCAGGTCTTCTTACTTCTGAGACGAGAATTTTAGCTTCTGCAAGTCTTCCTGTCTGCATCAAGCAGATAGCTAAGTTGCACATCTTATTGTAATCTTTCTCTATTTCCAGAGCTTTCCTGCAACCCAAAACACATTAACATTTATCAATGTAAAACAAATTCTCATTATTTAGAACTTATTAAGTAATATTTCATTTAAAATAACCTTCTGATTTCACTCAATCAGAAAATTATCAAACATAGAATTGAGATGCAAACAAACCGATAAAGCGGTTCGGCTTCTTTGTAATTTTCACATTGCATGTAAGCCCAGGCAAGATTCCCTAACAGCCTGAAGAGATTTCATAAGTGAAAAAAATGAAACTTTTGGTGTTAGATATGTAAATACCTAAGAAAATATAAGTCTACCTGGATTTTTCTTGCTCAACGGATACATGGAATTTTTTCCCTCGCGACCTTGCAGTTTTCATTATCTTCCCACCAAAAGCAGCCCCCTCATCAATAATCTTCAACTTGTGGTTGAGTAGATCAATTTGTTCAGTAACCCTTCCACATTTCTGTATTTACATTATAAATATCAAAATAAAAAAATTCAGAAAAATAGAAGAAATTAAATTTATGCAGAATAATAATAAGCATCGTACCTTGTAGAGATCAAGAAGAACATTATCGAGAGGTTCTTGTGCTTTTACAGAGCAAAGTCCCCGAAAAGATTTTATGGCCTCAATAGCTTCTTCTGCACGATTCAATTGTTTCATCACTACGGCCATGTCTTTCAGAGCACTGTCTACTCTATCAGCAGAGTTTATTGCAAACCAAAATAATGCAACAGCTTTGTTTGGATCCTTCTCCACCAACTAAAAGTTCAAGGAATTCATTAATCAAAACTAATAGTTTGAGATTTTTATTTAGGCTTTATCTGAGAACTCAGATACGCACTGTGCTGTTGAGTGAACACCGACACATAAAATTATATTTCATTTGATAAACTAACAAATCCCTACGTTCACCCAAATTATTTCGTTGTTTTAGAATGGAGACGATGATGCCCGTTTGGCCACGTGACTATTGAAGGAGCTTTAAACGAAGTCTTAATTGCAATCATTTGGTACCAAGAATTTACATAAGAAAAATTTATAAATGAAGTAAAATTACTATTTCATTTCAGAAATCGAATTAACTTAATACACTGGTAAATAAAACAATTTAGGCCAACTTTGGTTCAGCCAACAAAGAGGGAAGAAAATTTTTAACATTTTTTTTTCTTTTTTTTTGAAATCTTTGATAAACTAAAGAAAACAAAGATCACCATCATTCTCATTAAAAAAAAATGAAGAAGAGGAAAAATAAGAGCAAGAAAGAACAGATAGAAACATGGAGCTTTCTTCAATAAGAAATGGCTTGTTACCTGAGCGTGCTTAGCCTTCACATATGGAGAATCTCCGGCAGGAATCTTGAGCTGCGCGTGATCGGAAAACGAGCTGCCGTTGAATTTATCGGCCATGATCGGAGATTGAGCGACTTCAAGAAATCAAATCTGCGTTTTCTTCAGCTCTGCTTCTCGAGAAGCTATTCGGAGGAGCAGCGGGGAGGTTGAAGGAGGAAATCGCTGGTTTCTGAGCTTGCTGTAATGAAACTCACCTCTCCTCGCCGGAAGAGGTTTCCGGCGACTGAGATCAGATAGGGCTTCCTTCTATTTTTAGAGATTTTCGGTGCGCGAAGCTTGGTTTATAAACCGCGGGAAAGTGTTGTGAGGCCGTTGGGGGACTCGAACGTTGGGTTTGAAAATAACACGTGTGCGACGCACGTGCAAGAAAAGGCAACTGTAACTTGTCTTTTTCTTGATAACGGTTCATTGCCATTGGCGATAATTCTAATGTGTTCATGCATCTACACCTAAACATTCATATTTACATAAATATTACTCCCATATTTATTATGGCATAAGAAATATGGCCATCCGCATCTTTTTAAAATGAAAATTCACATTTTATAATGTTATAAGTGTAAATATTAATTTTTAGGTGTTTAAATTTGAAAATATATAAAAATCGTAAGTAAATTTTACAAAAAATCTATAATAAAAATAAGAAAATCCAATTTGTCCAAATTGGACCCATTTTAATACTTGTTTGACACTATTACTGGAGTTTAAGCCAACCAAGTTGACTCATAAGTCAGCTTGTGCTTGTCTCGATAAATGACTCATGAACTTGGCTCAAGGAACTAATAACCAAACTCAAACCAACCCTGACTCATTAGGACATGGACTGGCTTCTTTAAATAAATATTAATAGAAAATATATTCAAATTATATTAAATTTTAAAATATAATCTTTAAATTATTAAAAATAAAAAAATATTTTCTATTTGATATCAAATAATTTTTCATTATTTATCTTTTCATAGAGTTACTATTTATCATTATCTTATAATAATTTTAAATTAATATTTTTTCTCATGAGCAAGTTGGAACTCTTGTTTTTGTTCAGTCTTTATACACTACCAAAGGAGGTCGTATTGGCGCGCACTTTTACTTCCTAATACAATTACAATCAATCATTCGGACGCTTCCACTGAGTCCACTGAGCTCTCCCGCAACCTACCCTAATTCCGACCATCTCGCTTCCCCAGCCATGTCCGGTGGCCGCAGGATTTGGGTTTTGAACGTGGCAGAGAAACCTTCGGTGGCGAAATCGGTGGCGGAGATCTTATCTCGCCGCGGCGGCGGCATGCGGTCCCGCGAGGGGCGGTCGCGCTTCAACCGTGTTTTCGAGTTTGAGTACGCCATTGGTAGCCAGCTCTGCCACATGCTAATGACCTCCGTGACGGGCCACCTCATGGAGATTGACTTTGAAGATCGCTTCCGAAAGTGGCATTCC